CATATCTTACCAGGTCGTCACTCCATCTAGTGGGGGGACGCCCTACACTTCGCCTGCCGGTACGAGGCTGCCACTCGAGAACCTTTCTTCCCCATCGGTTGTCGGTTCTTCGAGCTATATGGCCGGCCCATTGCCATTTCAGCTTACTAATCCGTTGGGCTATGTCGGTCACTCTAGTTCTACTGCGGATATCCTCATTTCTGAGTTTATCACGCAGAGAAACTCCGAGCATAGCCCTCTCCATAGCTCGCTGAGCGACCTTGAGTTTCCTCATCCGGCCAGCAGTGAAGGACCACGTCTCAGTTCCGTATGTCATCACTGGCAACACGCACTGGGTGTACAGTCTCGTTTTCAAGTTTTGAGTTATACCTGACGAGAAGATGTGCCGTAATTTCCCGAACGCTGCCCAACCGAGTTGAATCCGTCGATTGACCTCTCGGTCGAAGTTGGACTTACCTAGTCGGACTATTTGTCCCAGGTAAACATACTCGTCAACAACTTCGAGCTTAGTGTTCCCAACAACTACCGGCATAGGTGTGACATGGACATTAAACATGATCTTTGTTTTGTCCATGTTCATCTTAAGACCTATCCGTTGGGAAACACTATTGAGGTCATTGAGCATAGTGCTTAGGTCCTCCAGCGATTCTGCCATAAGGACTATATCGTCGGCAAATCGAAGGTGAGTGATGTACTCGCCATTGATGTTGATACCGTATCCTTTCCAGTCCAGAAGCTTGAAAACATCTTCCAATGCAGCGGTAAAGAGTTTCGGGGATATGACATCACCCTGTCTTACACCTCTCTGCAATTGGATAGGTTTCGTACTCTGGTTCTGTACTCGGATAGCCATCGTAGCCCTACTGTACAAGCACTTCAACACTTCGATATACCGACAGTCAACTTGGCATCGCTGAAGGGACTGCAGCACTGCCCAAATTTCGACGGAATCAAAGGCTTTCTCATAGTCCACATACGCCAGACATAGTGGCAAATTGTACTCCTCGGACTTCTGTACAATTTGCCGAAGGGTATGTATGTGGTCTATGGTGCTAAAGCCTTTTCGGAAACCGGCTTGTTCGGGAGGCTGGAAGTCGTCAAGTCTGCGCGCGAGACGATTCGTAATGACTCTCGAAAACAGCACGTAGACGCGGCTCAGAAGGGAAATCGGTCTGTAGTTCTTCAAGAGAGCGTTGTCGCCTTTCTTGAAGAACAAGACCACCGCACTTCTGCTCCAAATCCGGTGCAATGCAGACAGATCTCTGGCAAAGACTTTGGAGCCTTGGTTCCGCTCGATCGCTTCTTCAATACGAGCTGTATTGAAGTTGCGTAAGTCCCGCCGCATGCATTTGGAGATCTGTCTGTTCAGTTGCCTGTATGCTGTTAAATCTGTTGAAGAATGTAGCTTCATCTTCCGTCTAACAGCCATGAGATTAAGAGTGTGATCGGAGAGTTTTTGTGTTCTTCTGCGGCGGGTCTTGCAGAACTTAGCTCCGACCGCATGGACAGTTTCCACGAGCTTGTCACTCAAATCGTCCACTTCATTGCAGTCTTCTAGGCACTGAAAACGGTTTTGTAACTCGAGCTGAAAGGTTTCGGGACTTTGGATTAGAGCACGAGGGGGACGGAGCGTTGACTTCATTAGACGAGACCTCTCCAACTTAACGTTTAGGTTCAGTGTGCCTCTAACCATTCGGTGATCGCTGCCGGTTTTCACCCTCGCGATCACTGAGACATCACTGAACAGTTGTCGTCTGGTCGTCATAATGAAGTCAATCTCATTTTTTGTCGAACCGTCGGGGCTCGACCAGGTCCACTTCCTGTGGGGCCGCTTCTGGAAGAAAGAGTTCATCATAAAGAGTCCCTCTTTCTCCATGAAGTCAGCCAACTGCTGGCCCCTTGGGTTCCGTTGCCCTATTCCAAATTTCCCTACTTTCAGCTCACCGTTCTCTCTTGTGCCTAGTTTTGCATTGAAGTCTCCCATTAACACAGTATATTGGGTTTTGGAGGAATGCATGGCTCTAGATATATCCTCATACATTTTTTCCACCTCCTCATCGGGGTGTGCCGAGGTTGGTGCGTAAACCTGTATGACCTTCAGCGAATACCGTTTGGTGATTCTGAGTATAAGGTACGCAACCCTCGTCGACACACTCTCAATCTTTACAACGTTGTTAACGAGAGACTTGTGGACGATAAATCCGACACCTCCTTGGGACAGATGGTCGTCCTCCCGGTAATAGAGCAAGTTGCCGAATTCGAGGATTACCGTGTCCTCCCCCTCTCTTCGGACTTCGGATAATCCTATAATATGCCAGCGTAACTTGTCTATCTCTTCTTCCAGCTCCACAATCTTCTCGTCAGTCCTCAGGGTGCGTGCGTTGTATGTTGCCAGGTCGAGTCGTCGTAGGTGGCAACCGAACCTCCACCGGAGATTCTTACCACCCCCTGCCCCGCCGTTACCATGGTCGCCACCGTAGCCAGGAATAGCGGGGCCGCCGGGGACTAGGGGCCGTTTATTATTGTCATTGCTCATGGGGGGTATATTGCCATAGTTGCCACGCTTGGCGAGCGGGTTGGCAACCGCAGTTTTTTTATTGTTATTTTGGCTATTATCAGGAAGATGCTGCTGCCCATCTCCTGCCTGTTTCCCTTTGTCGCCTTTTACGACACCCACGGGAAGATATGGGGTAGTGGATATTCTTAACCGCCACTACACGGATAACACTGCTGTTGTATAATGTTCGTTATAGCTGCAGATAATTCAATTTATCACAAGCGAGGTAACATAGAGTTTTTAATTTGTATTAAAACTATTAACACATTTAAAATTTTTTACCATTTTCACACAGTTGGGAATTGTGCCGAAAATCTGCTTTAATACTTAAATCTACTGTACATATTCAGTTCTAATCAGCAGACCAGCAAGCCGTGTTCATAGCCACCGGCATACATCAAATTGTTAACAGCAGTTTTATCAAGTGCCCAAAGGTAAAGGAAAACATCTAAAAGTCCTGTTTATGTTAGTTAACCTCATATATGTTTGAGGTAGAAAACATGACTGATTGCTGCAAAATCCTCTAAGAAATTAGAGCAGGACTGTGCATAGCATTCGGACGTATATAGACTGTAACTTTACATGAGAAGCTGCAATATCCCTCTACAAGATGCAGGAATGTAAAAGCTAGACTGATTTAAAGTCAAGATTTATATATCTATAAGATAATAAGGATATAATCTATAAAGTGCAATCTACGATTTCAGGAGTGTAAAAGCTTGACTATAAATATGGGCTCATACATAGTTCTCTTATATATGATGCTACAGCGAGTCTGTAGTCTGTGAACATGTTCACATCATTTTGCCCATTACATTAGATTTAATAAAACCCCTTGCAAAAAACACCTATTCGTTTGAAAAATTCGTGAGATTATTGAAGTTAAAAATATCCTAATTTCAACAGAGAAAATGGCTGGGTGCTACCATCTGCTTAAGATTTCATAACAAAAATTAAATCTAAACCAAAGCATATCACTGAAATATTTTAAAGATAGCGTATACTCGGTCTACGTAGATCGGAATAAAGCTAAATAACCCGAGTTAATTAACTATATACTATTAAGACGTAAAATACCGTATTACCTCTTTGGCCACGGGAGCTATAAATCACTTGAATCATCGAGAATTAAAAAAAAGGTACAATTAAAAACTAATATTTTGTACAATTTGATTTATTCAATGTATTCGGGTAAACATAAGAAGTCGTAAATTGTTATTATTATATCTAAATAATATTGTTGTTACGAAGATGTTCTATTTGAATATTTCTTGTGTATAAGGTTTGTTTAGTTTACGACGGGCTGTTTTCCGTAACTCCACGTCTAAGCGCGTATTTGCGTGTGGGCAGGAATAAAAGCCATGAAACCTCCCCGAAGAAGTTCAACAGTCTTTTGATGTTGCAAGCGAATTCTGGGTGTGATCTCGGCTTGCCGAGATGTTTAGCTTTGTATACAGCAACTTCCAGATACGTCAGCAACACGTGTGCCGCCGTTTCTTGCTCCCCATACATGCCCTGTACAGGTGACTGTCCGTAACACTTATGATAAATAAATGTTTGTTAAAGTTGCCGTGTCCTGTGGTAGCACTTGTTAATATCCTGATCTGTGGCTTATTAAATCTCATTAGAACCTTTGTTAGATGACTGCTTATTTCAGGTAGGGTCCCCCAACCTTGTCTACAGTCTACTAGATTCCAAAACTGAGCGAGTTGATTAGTGAATTTTCTACGTACTAGTGAACAAACGTTACCAAAGGGGATTTGTATGATTAGTTCCGACCCTATAGTGGCCAGAGCCGATCCTATTCTGGTCAGTTCATTTGCTGCATCATTGCCCCTGGATATATGTGTGTGGGATGGATAACCATTGCAGAGTCACATTGTTGTGTTTACATACCTTATTTAATCATTGATAGCATTCATATATTAGTCCCAAGTTCACCACATTGCAACTCAGAGCTTGTAGTACCCCATACTGTCGGTCAGTATTACACCCATCCATTCCGCCTGAAAGACAATGTTGTAGGTACCCAGCGGTGTACATATGTGGATATTGAGGTCTTTAGAGAATATTCCAGATCCCACAACTTTATTTGTTTTAGAATCATCCGTGAAAACTCTAAGCTCTTTTGGGCTTAATCACTCTGGCTGGCTGGTTTCATTTAATTGTATCTTAGCGAATACAAATTGTTTGGAGATCTTATCGTATTTGGCTTGTTAGATAAGAATTTTTGAGTAAATTCTATCAATTATACCTATATGAGGAACTCTACTCTTACTCCAAAGATATAAAGTATATATAAGATATAGAAAATTATACTAGCTTTGTTGATTTTGTTTGCTATGTGTTTATTCCAGTTGAGTTTACTATCCAAGGTAAGACCTAAGTATTTACCTCAGAGGATAGCTGGAGTTTTGTACTGTAGAGACTTGATAGATGATAATTATTCTATTCTAATTATGTTTCCCGAGACCAGTAATGTCAGGTCATCTGCATAACTATAAATATAGAAATGGTTACAATTTAATTTGCTGATTAGCTCTATTATGATCATATTCCACAGGAGACGTGAAAGAACCCCACCCTGTGAGCAGCGCTTTCTTATTTGGACTGCCTGAGATTCACCAGCAATCAGTATTGTTTGTGAACTGAACTTGTTTACTATCCAATAGTCGATCTGTGCCGGTTCAACTCTATGTCTCCTTAATGCAACTTTTATACTGGAGAAGTTCGTTCTGTCAAAAGCACTTTCTGTATCTATGAAGGATCCTAGACATTTTTCTTTGTTTTGGATGGCCCCTTCAACCTGTGTTATTGCCTGGTGAAATGCCGAGTCTGTTGATTTGCCTAAGCTGTAGGCGTGTTGCTTCTCGTGTAGTGGTAAGCTCATTAGCGCCGACCCGCTTAAATACTTTTACACACTCTCGTTCTCCATCGTCTTTAGGAGAAAGGATGTAAGGCTAATGGGTATATAGGATTTTGGGTCCGTATATTCGCTCTTACCTGGTTTGGGTATAAACGTAACTTTCACTTCCCTCCTTCCCCTAGGAACATATCTGAAAGCCAAACAAGCTCTCATTATGGTAACTTGTTGCTTGTCTGGCTACTAACAACTATTAAGCCTTTACATCCACATTGTTGGAGTGGCGGGAAAATGCCGTCAGGTCCTGCTGCTTTATAATGGATGCCGCCCAATGGACGTCATCCACTGTTACCACTCTCTGTGCTAAATTTCAGTTTTTGGTTGTTGGTATCACAGCATATTCATGCCAGTTTAGCCCCTGAGTTACACAGCAACCTGGGAAGTGCGTTTCAATTAGGATGCGTTGGGTTTCATCCGGCGATGTTGAGTAGTAGCCGTCGGCTTTCTTTAAAGAGTTGGATCTCGGCGTGTCCAGTTTAGCAAGGATTTTCCTTATCCCATTCGCTTGTTCATATCACAGAATTTACGCCATCCTGTCGAATGTCGATAGATTTTTTGTACTCAGACTTAGGTTTCTTGTATAGTAGCCAGTCTTCATCCATTGAGGTATTCATAGCCCTATTTAAGGCTTTTCTTACCTTTTTGCGTTTCTTATCTAGTTCTTTACCCTAACACGGTTGCTGCTTGCACCCAGCATGCCTTGGTAAAGCGAATCCTGGCTACTACCTATTCTTCTAGGAGCGCTGATCTGCTATAGTGTTTATCCACTCAAAAGCCGCGAGCCAAGATGTTAGCTTATTTAGGTACTTTATTTTGTCTTTCGGGGATTTCTTCATCTATGGTCTGATTGTGAGGCCTATCTGCACACATGCCATCCCGTGATTAGTTTAGGTGCTCCTTCTGTTGCAAGTGTGAGGTCCATTATTGTGCGCAGCGTTTGTTTTTGAAAGTTAGTTCGGAACCTGTGTTTAAAATGGTTAGAATGTTAAAATATAAATAAATAAAATTGTTAATGAGATTTTTTGAAAAAATTTAATTAAAAAGAAACAAAAGCATGTTATTCGCAACTCTCTGTACGCGGTTCAACCTCAAAGTGTTCATCGATATGTGAGCAGTTTGACCTACTTAGGCCCCATATCTGAAAAAGTAGCTAATACTCTTCGACAAAACGGCGTTCATGTGGCGTTCAAAACAAACAATTCTCTTAGAAATATCTGTAATAGTAAAGATAAGTTGGATATTCGTCAAAAGTCAGGTGTTTACAAACTTGTTTGTGACGAATGCCACGCCGTTTACGTGGGTTAGACTGGTCGCAATTTCGAGACACGTTATAAAGAGCATTTAGCCGCGTACAGGAATTGCAATCCCGATAAATCCCATTTTGCCAAACATCTTTTGGACACTGGACACAACCTAGCCAACGACCACTCCTTTAAAGTCTTACATACGTGTAATAAAGGGCTGCGGCTGTGTGTGCTGGAACAGTTAGAGATATTAAAAAGTAATAATAATACCGTTGCATTGCTGAATGAACAAACAAATGTTACTAATTCACCTCTCTTAAATATCTTCAAGCCTGCTCTCTAATAATGTGGACGTTGCGCGGCGGTTTGTTTTTAATTTTACAAACGGCTGCGTAAGTCCAGCGGTGATTGGTCGCATGTTTTATCGCATGACGCAATCGCTCGCTCGTTAGGTAGAGAGCGGTTGAATCATCGGTTTGTATAAAAGGCACTTGTTTTGGCTCGCCGCTCACTTAGCGGTTAGCCACCGTAGAGTCTATATCACCTGAGGATGCCTCGTGTAGAGGCGAAACACGTGTCGTATTATCGTCAGTGGTGTGTCTTGCCTAGTGTAGTGGTGTTGGAAGTAGCGGTGCTGGGATTAGTGGTGACGGGGATAGTGCACGCAATTGAGGGAGGGCGGGAGGTGCTTCTTCATACTAGGTAAGACACATCATTTTATTTTATAACGCGGATATTTGCGAAGTAAATTTTTTGTAAAAGCTTTTAAATAAAGCTACACTTAAAAAGTCCCAAGTTAATGGAATAGAAATAATCCACTGTGCTGTTACATTGCACGTTGATGAAAAACTCCCCGTGAATTCAGCTTGGGTAACACGCCTAAGCGTACCAAACCGCCTGCCGTGGTGATTATGGCGAAAAATCTCCACTGCTTGTACTTTTGGTTGTTTGAAATAACTACTTACTATGGTGTCTTACGGACTGTAAGTTCTTTTGTCACTTGGGTTTAATAAAAAAAAACATTATTGATGGAAAGAATATCGGTCAAATTAGACCTGACCAAAATATGAAACGACCACCAATAATAGATACGTCAAAAATAGTGACTTAGGAGTATATTAAATTACGGAGTTCAACTTATTTTATTGAAGCCGGTAAAATAATTTAGCTTTGTAATGAAAAACCTCTTTTCCTTACTACTTTTTATAGCTTTTGAGCGCATCTAAATCCGTCCCGTTTTTATCTGTGGTAGACGTTTCATCATAACACTAAGGCACACTGTCCACGGAGGCGTAGCTTCTTAGACGCGTATTCGTCATTATACGCTTGGTGTACGCTTGCTTGCAGCTTACATACAAAACAATGTAACTCTGTCGATGGAGCGGCAACGTCGCGCTCGCGTCGCTGCACGCAAGCTTCATGACGCCTGCCGTACTTGCTGTCATACGCCGGGGCGTACATGGAGTGAACGCACGTGTTTTTTATTGTAAAAAATGGCGGGAACGGCTGCCAAATTTGTTCAGATAATAGAAAAATATCCGTGTTTGTATAACAATAATCTTGCTGAATATGCTAGAAAAGATTTAACTGAAAAGGCTTGGAGTGAGGAGGCGAAAGAAATACAATGGACGGGTGAGCATTTGTTTTTATTTATTTTTTAGTAAAATACATAACATTTATTCAAAAATGCAATTATTCCACTGCCATGGCAGAGCAACATTAGGCTGTAAAAAGTAATTTGCTAAATAATTACATAAACCGTTAGGCGTGTTTACAAATGTCATGTTTGGTATCAAAATTGGTGCATGTCGAATATTGGACACATTAAAACTGTCTGTAGTCGTTGTGTATTGCACACCATCATATCTTCGTATGTAATTATGCAAAATACATACGCACTGTATTATTGAAATTATTGTTGAGTATTTACGACATGATATAGCTTTTAGTAGTACTTGAAACTTTTGTGTCAACATACCAAAAGTGCATTCAATACTTTTTCGTCCGCGACTTAACCTATAATTGTAATTTTTTTTCACATTATCCAGATTTCTTACTGAATAGGGTCTCAATAAATTTCTCCTTAAAGGGAATGCATTATCTCCCACAAAGTAATAAGGAAAACGATTGCCTGTGGCATCATTTGGCAATGCTGTTGATTCAGTTGGAATGTTCAAACCTTCCGTTTCCAACCAATGCCCAAGCGCTGATACTTGAAACACGCCATCATCACTATTCCGTCCGGCAAATTCATATTCTATGCTGGTAAAATATCCATCTGCATCACAGCATCCAAGCAAAATAATAGAGTGATAGCCTTTATAATTGTAGTTGGCTGAACCTGTATTTGGAAATTTCTGTATCCTGATATGCTTACCGTCGATCGAACCCAAGCAATTGGGTAGATTCCAAAGTTCATAATACCTTTTCGCAATTTCTTTCCATTCATCAGTAGTTGGTACAGGCATGTATGTATCCTTCAATGCATTCCATATTATTTTAGTTGTTTCTGATATCACACGCGACACGGTACATTCTCCTCGGGCAAAGTAAAGTCCCAATGCTCGAAACGAACAACCTGTAGCTAAATACCTGGAAAAAATATGTTATTAGTTCATTTATATTAAATAATAAAAATCTGTTTGTTGCAGTTAACGATTGTAAGGAAAAATGGAAAAATATTAGAAATGGTTTTGTTAGAAGTTTAAAACCGAAGACTAGTGGATCGACAACTACAAAAAAAAATACTATTTACATGATGAGATGCAGTTTATATTACCATACGTCAAACCAGTAATTCACATGAATGAAAGAGGAAATTTACCAAATCCTGAACAATCAACTCTAAATCAGGAGACCCCTGCGTGCCCCGAAGAACAGGCATATGTTGGTCCTAACAGGAATATTACAGAAGACACTGAATCGGAAAATTATTCCCATGTTGAGAGGTCGTCATTTCAAAAACCAAAAAAAAAGGATTAAACCTGTTAACAACGAAGCTGATAAAGCTTTTGTAGACTGGTTAAAAACAAAAGAAAATAAAACAGATGACCCACGAAAAATGTTTCTGCTGAGCTTGCTACCCGACATACAAAGTCTTAGAGATGAAAAAATGAGTGTATTTAGAATTAAAATGTTGATGCTTTTGGAAGAAATTAAAAAAACCAACGTGTTCAGTTATCCAGCCACAGATAAACCAATTCAGAGTCTATTCGCCGATTTCTTCCGGTAACTCCCACAGTTCACAAACACTAGCATCCACACCTTCTCCAATAAATTATTCTAACGACACACAAGTTTTCTCTGACTATTCACAAACACAAATTACCACATTAAACCCTATTAATTATTAAAAAAATATTAATGATTTGGAAGATTTTACAATACAATAAAAGTTCACGGATGCGCCATACATGTTATTTTTTTTAAACTGATATTTCGGATGGAAAATATAAACCATTTTGATTAAAATATTGTTTTACTTACCGCAACGTGATTAATATCCTTTCATCTGGGCTAACACATTCTGGCATATTGGTATACTGTTTTTGTAATAATGGTCCTACGATCTGAAGTAAATTTTGATAAGTTGCTCATTCTATAGAATGAGTGAAATACACTGTCATCTTCAAATAATTCTCTTGCCGCTATGAACAATCTACAGTTTATATTTCTTTCTATATATGGATGGGTCCAATATAATCGTCGTTTTCGTCGACTTCGAATGTAGTGATAAGCCAAAATAACGTCTTCGTCGTCCGATTGCATTCTCACAAATGATTGATAATGTACGCTTGCAATACGCCTCATGGGTGTATGAGTATGAGGCGTATTTCGTGGATAGAGATCAGTACGCTGGGCTGCTTAAGCTGCGCGGCGTATTTTGAAGCGTCTATGAAGCTACGCCTCCGTGGACAGTGTGCCTAAAGTAACACTACCATTATGCGTTTATACTTACTTTAAATACTAGATTTTACTGTAGATTTTTTATTTATTTTTGTAGTTTATTATACATAATATATTTTTTTATTCTTCAATAATTTAAGGGACATTTACCGCTTAGCGTATGTCAGTCCCATCATATCCTAACATACATTACTTAGTGCCGATTTCACCAACGACGTCGTTGTCTAAGTTTAACTAACCCGAGAATAAAGATATTCCCTACTTTTACTCTCAGATAACTTACTGTACATTTCACCATGTAAAACAACAGATTAGTAAGCCTCATATTAAGTATTCTTTGGAATAATGGTTTTGATTATCTGTGAAAGACTGTATTTGAATGAGTCTGCTGCAAGGCAAAGCTTGATTCAAACGGGTAATATTTCTTCTTCTTCTTCATTTCTACATGCTACTTACGAAGCTAAAGCTGTAATGATTTATACCATGTTTTTACCTATGGTTTGTACCTATGGAATTTTTTGTGACATCCTTTACTTATTACTTTGTGTTTTTATCTCTAATGCTTAATATTTGTTCAGGTGGTGGACCTGCAAAGCCTAAGCTTGAGGACAACCCATTTCATAGCAAAATCTTGGCTTTGATATCTACGGTGGTAGTTGGACTGGTCAATGAATATGACAGTGATAATATGAGCAATAATCATGTTATTGAAGAGATTCCTAGCAACACATTGGCTTCCACTAAAGGTACACAATTTTTGACTGTCTTTGACTGAACAACATTACTTAAGTGGTATCTTCAAATTTTATTTAGTAATTAGTGTTATTTTATCAATAATATGTGTTTTTTTCAGTTCCTGATGTAACAGACATATTTATTCCTGCCCCTATATATGCTAAATCCATGACCATGCCTCTGTCTATGGATATAGATACAAGCATACAAAATGATTATAAATCACAAGGAGACACAGCTGTATGTAACCTAAAAATTAATATTAAAATAATATATTCTAAAGTATTTCTTCTAATTTTTTTATTGAGTCCGACTATTAGTTTTACGTATTACCTAACCCATTAAAAGCCTATTAAATAAGTTAGTAATTTTTCGAAAATATTACAAAATTATTTTTATTTTGAAGGATTGGGGAGACTACACTCCAAAACTGCTGCAAACTCCAAAATCTGCACCTCTACGGGTAGTGAGTAAAAGAGAAGAGGATGTAGTAATTTCTACTCAAAGTAAGAGTTGGAGTTCCAAGCGCAGACCGGCTCTTCCCTCTTCATCTCTAGAAGATTTACAAAAAACAAAAAAAAGCTACCGAAATGCAGATGAATTTTTCTGCTGAAGAGAGGGAAGAAGCAAGAAAAATTTTTTATGGAAATGAAAATCAAAAATGAAATTTTAAAGCAGGAGAAAATAAAAACTAGGTTATTACTATTACAATTAAGGCGGAAAAACCAAAAAGTTTATTAAAAACTACGACTTAATAAAAAAAAACATGGTTTTACTATTTAACTTTTGTCTCACAATAAACTAAATAAGATTCCTAAACTGATTGTTTATTAGGAGTTCTCTGGCTCTATTTCGCTGAGGAGTACTTGATTGTTCATATCTTATTTGACCATTTTGTAAGAGCGCCTCCCAAGGTGCTGGAAAAATTTAACCTGGATCATCAGGTGGAACTGTTTCTCCTTGTTGACGCAATATCTTATGCAGTACCGCCGTTGCCATAATTATAACCAAAGCATTGTCTAATTTAACTCGTAGTCCTAAAGCTAGTACTGGAAATCTTCGTTTCCAAACCCCGTAAGACCTTTCAACAGCGTTTCTTGTCCTGATCTGCGACTCGTTGTAGTTGCTCTACTGCTGTTCTAGGATTCTCTAATGGGGGCATAGAATAGGATGTAGCAGCATATCCACCATCTACAAGTAAAATTCCTTCACCATAATGACCAGCTTCAAATTTTGCTTTACGGCAGCAATTATTAAATATAGTACTGTCATGTCTTGCGACAATATCAATAATTACCAAATATGCATTACATATAGTCTGGACATTAATAGAAAAATAGCCTTTTCGGCTTCTAAAAAGTTCTGCCTGATCACCCCCGAGTGAAGAACTTCTGACATGTGTGCAGTCCATTGCCCCTATAACTCTAGGGAATCTTGCTATACCATAAAACTCCCTTTGATTTTGCCGAATTTCCTGTTGAGTATTCGGAAATTTTATGTACTCGTGGTTCAATGACGCCATGGCAGCACTAACTCTATGTATTATTTTATGTGCTGTAGGTGTGCTGAGTCTACTAAAATCACCGATCGTTAATTGTGAATTATTCGTTGCATAATATCTTAGTGTTGCCAAAAGCTGATTGATCGGAGAAATTGATTGATTCCCTTAAACAAAAACAATTTTTATTTAGAGCAATTCATTGCCGTATTATGTACCTACGAACAGTATAAATAGGTACAAAGACTCACCTCTCAGATATAAATTCCAAATGATCTTCAATTTTGATCAAAAGATTAGGAGCAGCTGCTTTAGATAACCGAAATCTTATGCTAAAATCTTCGTCATCATAGTCATAAAAATAATTATTCCTTTTTTTATCTACCTTGGACGTCTTACAACATACTCATAGGTTTCATCTTCACTATCATCACTGTCACTGTTGTTAATAATTCTTCTCAAACGTTACATTATTTAAAGTCTCAATAATAATTAAATTAAAAATTTATTAACCAAACAGCAATTCAAGAACAAGAAACTTGGACGTACGCGACAGACTACGAAATGTCAAATAATTAACAGCTGACAGCCAGTCGGCCATTTTTAACCGAAGAATAACTCCGTATTCCTTCAGAATCGGGTGTATAAATCTTATCTCTTGGTTAACTATTTATTCTTGAGTTAAATTGTTGGTGAATTATAAAATTTGATATCCTAGAATAACTTATATCATTAATAATCGAATAAAATTTATCTGAGTTTGGTGAAATCGGCCCTTACTCATATAACGTTAGTTAATACTTATTATACTACGTAGGCCATGGATTCGAGCAGAACTATAGCATCGTCGCCATTTGGTTGGGATAGAATATTATGAAATGTGCCCACATCAGTTCTATTCAAATTCAAGAAACTTATGAAGTTACTTCTAATAGACTCAAATCGAACACATTCCATCAATATATGGTATAGATCTTCTATAACTCCAAGGTCTTCACAATTGAGCAAAGTTGTTTTTCTCATCAGAAATACAAATTGCTTACATGAAACTATGAAATTACAAATTATGAAATTTAAATTTTTGATGCCACACTTAATTTGATAATCAAAAAAAAAAACACTGTTATTTCATAATTTTGAGTTTTCACTTATGTCAGCAGTCCTCAATTACTGCCATTTTTTATTCAGCTAATCAGTGTATGACTTTAAGAACCGTAGCTGAGCTCAGTGAAGTCAATTAAATCATTTTCAAAGTTAGGATTTCTTCAAGTACCTGGAGGGAACACGTAATATCCACCAATTCGCTCTGTATCAGTACATTATATTATTTTTGTTTAATTTTAGCTCAATAAACCCTTCAATGGCCCTAAATGTTAATAAGTTGAAATAGCAACGCACGGGCCACGTCTCTCACAGAAGTGAACCTGTTCGAGTAGACGTATCATGGAGTGAAAATTGCCCCTAGGCCAATGTGAGGACGTCCCGTGACTAGATCTACGCAAGGTGGCTGGTAGCAATTGTATTTGTTAAGTCAAAGATCAGGATAAGTGACGTGTCTATTTCCAGCAGTGAACAGTTGAAAACTGCTCCTTGAGACCCCGTCAGAAAATAAGTGGCATGTACATAGATCGTAAAACACAACATTTCACAAACTTAATCAAAACCAATTCGGAAAACTATCTCACTTATAAGAAATGCTCCTAATAAATGATGTCCGTCAGAAGCTGCCAATTTCCATTGAATGGAATGTAGATCATATTTTGACCAACTTCAAAAAAGGGAGGTTCTTTATTTCCCCATATGTTTGTATTTGTGCGAATTTTTGATAGCCTCTTAATGCTGCTGCGTTTCGTATGTTGAGTATAGAATGTATATGTATATGTATATAGACCAGAGAATCCACTTACCATTAGGTGGACTATATTCTCGTTTGTCACTAGTATTCAATAAAAAAAATATATTGCGGTTATCAATTTGTAGATATTTTTAGTTTTTAATTATTTTATCATATGAAAATCATGATCGCAGTTGGTTTGCGAATTGTATCTACATCGTCAAACATCGAAAACATCTAGTATACTTTAACAGATATAATCAAAAATTTTATTTTAAAATGTAGAGTTACAGAAAAGATGTTTCAAATCTAATAATTATAATATGATTATTTGCCAGCACAATTTTTCAAATGTCTAGGAAAACGTGTAACAAGATAAAAAGAAGAATGCGTTTATTATTTTCAATTATCCGCGTAGGTGACAGAGGTTAATAACTCTCTTTTGATTGAGAATCTAATGGAAATATTACTACTAGTAGTACTACACTTGTAACGGTTATTCGGTCTATATATATATATATATATATATATATATATATATAAGTCTATGCCGTGTAGTGGCGGTCTAGAATATCCACTACCCCATATCCTCCCGTGGGTGTCGTAAAAGGTGACAAAGGGAAACAGGCAGGAGATGGGCAGCAGCATCTTCCTGATAATAGCCAAAATTACAATAAAAAAACTGGGGTTGCCAACCCGCTCGCCAAGCGTGGCAACTATGGCAAATACCTGCCTATACTACAAATATATATAGATACAAATTGTTTATAAATTGACCAGCCTAAAATATATATATATAATTTTTATTTGGTAATTCGGTCTATATATATATAAATCAAAATATAAAATTTTATATTTTATAAAATCTAAAATTTTATATCCAATGGGTGACAGAAAATTGTCATCTGGTGACATCGTAAGAAAATTTATAGCCCCATTTTTTCCCACGCTCGGTATCGTAAGAGGTGACTGTGGACAATGCCAGAAAAATCTAATAGCTTCCGCTAGGTAGGGCATACTATCTCGTTTATGCTACTCGTAAATATTCAAACCGGCGACGGGCAGCAGCGTGCGAGATGCGAAAAGTCTGGCACTACGTTCGCAAATCTGCATGCCAAGGTATATTCTTCTTGCATTAAGGCTTTAACTAGCCTGAATGACCTTGACGAAACGGCGATCGCAGAGATTTTAGCCGATGTCAACACCGTCTAGCAACTACGTTCTGTATTACTTATAAAAGTGCAAAGATTAATAGACTGCAGAGATGACAATTATATAAGTGACATACTGCCTGTTATGCTTGCGCATCACTGAGAATTATGTCGCGGTTACGCATCTTCAATTACATTGCACGGTGTGGTGCTGTAGCTTTGTCCGGTAGGCATCACGACCTATCAAGTGTTCAAGTTTCAAGTACGTAAGAATTTTTATTATATATGTTAAATCGTATTTATTTGTGTCGTATTAAAAATATGTCATCAAAGCGTTCGCTGTAAATTTGTCCCGGGTTTGATCCCCGACAGCACGAATAAAATTTGTAATTGCAATTTTCGTCAACACGCATTGGGGAAGCACGGCGGGCATTTCCTTGCCCTAAAACCCTCTCAGAAATAAAAAAAGAGTCCTGTGCCCAGTAGAGGGACTTGTATAGCCTATTATTTTACTTTGTAGCAATATTTATATTCGTTTCAGATATAGAAGGGTACCTTATACTCACAAAAATATCATGTGGAGGCGACGAAAACGTAAAACATCTTTGTACCTAGATAAAATGTTCGAAAGATTGTCAGTCATGTCATACGCCACATTTTCTATAGAGCGTAGAACATTGCAGATAGGGCAAAATAAAAAATTATCCAATATATTATGGGAACTATTTATTAATAATATATACATTTATAGGTATTTATAATAAAAATAATGAACAAGCTGCAAGGTTCAACTAATAACGTTTTTTGTAAACACAATCGTAAAATTCCTGTTTTAATTTTTACCAACGGTTAATTGATGAAACGTAGTCATTTCATATAAAATATATTTAGTTAAAATTGACACGTGACCTATTTGGCCTTCTACTTACAACTCGGCGGAAATTTGAAAAGATTTTGTCTTTTCACACAAGTATTGTTTACAACTGGCGTGGTTTCGAAAAGCGTGATTAAGTGTCAGCGGTATATAATCAATTAAATACTGAACTTTTTTGAAATTTATTTTTTTGTTTATTTTTATTATATCTTCTTAAAAACTGACACCATCTCACTATTTGTATTATTTGTTTTTTTTTTGTAACGCATAAGGTTAAGTTAGATTAACTTGGATAAGTTTATAATTTTTTAAATTTTATCACAAAATTTCCGCAATAAATTATTACCTTTTCTACAGTAATTCTCTCCTCTTAGTTTCGGCGTGACTGTAGGATGTTATAGTGAGTCACCGTCAGTTACTAAGCGGCCATAAATCATTATATGTATGTATAGACATACATATATACATTTTTTGATTTTAATATTTATGTTTTTTATTTAATTTTGATTGATTTTTTGAAACCTGGTAAAATTATTTTTTTCCATACCAATTGATGGGCCTGAGTTTAATGCCAGTTATACTCTTTGGCTGAAGTTATTTTTTATTTTATGCTAAATTGCAGACAAAACAATATTGAATGCGCATTTCTAAAACAAAATTTTACCTCTTCTCCTTCTAATAATAGCTCCTGCACCTAACACGGCGGAATAGTTATTATTATCTATAAGACCATTTGCGGAAACAGTTTATGTTAACAGTTATGAGTGTAACATTTTATCAGCTGCTTTGTTTATAGTGCCTTGAGCAACACTTTGCCGGTTTCTGTACAGAAAATGATGCTGACTTTGCAAATATGGATGGCCGCTACCATTGAATATAATACCCGCTATTACACTTATTTACATAGAAACTTTAATTATCATTTGCATAAAATTCTAAATAGCACTTTTTACACAAGAAAGTAAACTTTTAGATCAGTCCATTTTGTTTTTCACTAATTAAGTAAAAAGTAAAACAAACCAATAGGGCCATGATTTAAAATTTTTTGCAACATTTTATAGAAAAGCATGACCTTATCATAATATAAAAGTCAATCATTTAGCCATGTGATAAAACTTTTAAGTGTGCCAGTCAAACATTAATGATGATATTCGGGTCATTATACTGGAAATAGTCTTTTAAATATTTTGCAGTACAATTGATAATCTTCAGTATGATTGACCGTGTATATGACTTTTATAAGTCTATGTTATTTTTGATGAAAATTATTATTGCA